AAATTTAATGTCATTTCTCATACCACGCCAATAACCACATTTTGATATTTTGTGTATTGTTTTTCGGACACCTAGATGACCAGCCATAGAATTTTCATGCAATTCGATAAACAGTCTAAATTTTTTGGGAATAACTGGTCTAAATTCACCACTGCTAGCAAACCTTGTGTAATAAAGAATATTATCATTCAAGATATAGTGTTTAGATTTACTTAGTCTCTGCAATTATAGTAGAATCATCTGGTAATAGTCCAGTTTTTAAGTAAGAGTATATTAATCATCTTTAGTTTGTTCGGTAGCCAGTTGTTCTATAGGCAAAAAGTTTAGGTGATAGCTTACTAATGTCCAAATCTGAAGTTTCTTCTGGGAAGGGGCTGTGTGGGTTAGTCTATATATGGCATCAGGGAACTGGTTCTTTTCCTTTTGTATGTAGTATCTCAAATGTTAAGTCTTGTAATTTTAGTGACCAATACATCAGTCTACCATTTAATTTCAGAGCTGTCTCTAACCATTTCAAGGCAACGTGGTCAGTTATAACTATAAATTCTTCTCCATCTAGGTATATCTTAAATTTTTCTATTGTTCAAACTACGGCTAGACATTCCAATTCTAGTGTAGTTTATTTTCTACAAAGTTCAGTGTTCTACTTGCATATGCTACGACACCTTTCTGCACAGAACTGCTCCTAAACCAACATTTGAAGCAACAGTATGCAAATTATAGTGTTCACCCTTTCTTGGAAGTTGTAAGACAGAGGATTCACATAAGGCCTGCTTTAATTTCTGGGGTGCATCCTTACATTTATATGCTTCCTTCGTAAATAATATAAAGGTCAATCAATTGTAGCAAAGTTTGGAATGAACTGATTGTACCAGGCACACATACCCAAGAATGTTCTTAAATCTTCGCAGCTGCTTGGAGTTGGAAAGCCTGTAACAGCTTTCACTTTGTCATCATTTGTGCATATTCCTTTTAAAGAAAGTTTAAGTCCTAAATATGATACTTCTGACTGGCAAAATGTGCTTTTAGAAACTTTTATAGCAATATTAGCTGTACGTAGCTTGTAGAAAGCCAATTCAAGGTCTTTCAAATGTTGTTCAAATGTGGGC